AAAGAAAAGAAAAGAAAAGAAAAGAAAAGAAAAGAAAAGAAAAGAAAAGAAAAGAAAAGAAAAGAAAAGAAAAGAAAAGAAAAGAAAAGAAAAGAAAAATCAATGAAATGATTCCTAATGATATTCTGATCAGAGTCATGTCCAGTTGTCATCTAGGAGGCTTTCTCTGGCAACAGATGGGAGCAGATGCAGAGACCTACATCCAGCCAATATTCAGAGAGTCTAAATTGGAGGTTCTCCATCAGGTCTCTCCTCTTGGAGATAGAAGAATCCCACAGAAGAAGGGCAGGAAGATTATAAGAGTCAGAGGGGATGGAGGACACTGGGAGAACACGGCCCTCATAATCAACTAAGCAGAGCTCACCTGGGTTCACAGAGACTGAAGCAGCAAGCTGGCATGGTTCTGTACCAGGTCCTCTGCATATATGCTATGGCTGTTATCTTGGTATTTTTATGGGAATCCTAACAGTGGAAGTAGGGGTATGTCTTTGACTCTTTGGCCTGCTCTTGGGACTCTTTTTCTCCTATTGGGTTGCCTTGTCTAGGCTCCATATGAGGGCTTTTCCCTTGTCTTATTGTATCTTATTTCGAAAGTTTGGTAGTTTTATCTTGGAGGTCTGCTCTTTCTGAAGGGAAGCAGAGATGAGAGTGGATCTGGGAGAGAAGGGAGTTGGGATGAGTGGGCTGAAAATGAGGGCCTTCATCCTTGAACCCAATGGCAATTATAGACCACTGTTCATATCAGCATTGTGATTACACCTTCTTCCTTCACATGCACACATTCTTAATTTTCCTTATGAAGTGATATGGGATTTTATTTTCCTCATTTCTCAGTCAGTGCTTCCTCCTCTCACCTATAGCCTCCTTGAGGTCTTTGTCCTTCGCCAGTAAGCACTCAACAATATGATATTGGCATATAATAAATCTAGAATTTATTTAACATCAAACACACCTGAGAAAGGATGTAGCCAGCACTCCATAATGGCAGAAGTGTTCTTGCATTAAGGAAAAATGTATAAAAAGGAATCATGGATCTTGCCATGTTCACATTATTTAAACATATATATTTTTCAACAATAGAAGTATTTGAACCAGCAAAATATATCATCCATCTAACCTTAAATGTTTAAATAAAACTTTCATTTCTATTGCTAAGAGTAAAAATCCCATTCATATTATTTTGTTCAAAATTTCAGAGCATTTTTTAAAATCCCCAAACTTCTCTACCTCCGGTCATGATTATTGCACTCACTACCTCTATGAGACACGTTTTTATATTTCACAAATAAAAGAAACCATGAAGCATTTGACTCCCTGTGCCTAGCTCACATGGCTTAACTTACTGTCCCTGGCTTCACCTGTGTTGGTGAAAAGCAGAGACTCCCCTAAGTTTTCATTCCATTATGTCTCATTTCAGAATTCTACTCTGGCCGGATAAGAGAAAACATTCAGGAAGCTGGTGAGCAGCCCAGCAACTACAGCAAATATATTGTTTTCTTTAAAAAAAACTACAACAATAGATGTTAAGTGAGTGTTAATTGATAAAAGTAACCATAAGTGGTAAAAATGTAGGAAATGTGAATCATCTATGTACAGTAAAATCCTGAATTATACATGATCAATACACATTTTCTGTAATTTTTAATAAGAGGGTTGAGGGAAAAGAAAGATAAAATGAAGGCCACATGACTCACACCTTGAAATGAGTATACCAGATTTTCCATACAAATGATATATATGTATACTGGTTTAAGTATACTTAAAATAGTCAAAACATCAAGACATAAATTCAATTTTTCATGATACCGTTTACATATAATATCTGGGAGTTAATTTGAGAAATTTTTGTCATATTTAACACTTAGTCTTTTACAAATATTCATAAGTTTACATACTTCTCTCTACTTCCTTTCAACCCAATAATGTACATTATTCATTATATATAGTGATGTGAGACTCATCAATATGCACGGTTGAAGTTTTTATGAATTGATTCTTAAGATACTTGCTCTATAATTAATTCAACACTAAAAGACTATAATGGTGCCGGGCGGTGGTGTTGCACGCCTTTAATTCCCGGCACTCGGGAGGCAGAGGCAGGTGGATCTCTGTGAGTCCGAGGCCAGTCTGAGCTACCAAGTGAGTCCCTGGAAAGGCACAAAGCTACACAGAGAAACCCTGTCTCGAAAAACAAACAAACAAACAAACAAACAAACAAACAAACAAACAAAAAAGACTATAATGACAGGCACTAAAACCACACCAAATTGCAATTTTATTTTCACGAATGTAGAATGCCGTCTAAGTCATGCCTGACAAATGCACCTTTTGCATATTCCCTCCTAATTTTGTGTCTTTTGAAGATGTTATAATCAGAGAATCAGAAACTGATAATTTGGTAAAAAGAAATTAAATGTTTAATCTTGGTGTGTATGCTACATCCATAAAAAAACCATCCAGGGAATTAGTATGGGCAGAGGGAGCTGAAAATGAGATCATTCTAACAATATGTAGTTTATACTGTTGTGCCAACACTAAATACTATAGTCTTAGTAAGAGAATTAAAAATCCATACAATGTACTATGAAGCTTATCAGTTCTAACATACGTCTTAAATCAGTGAGTCTGGACCTTATATGGTAAACGTGTGGCTGATGTAAGAGGCTTCTCCACGTGGCTGTTCTAACATTAGCTTCACAAACATGGTCTTACTTTCTTCATATTAATATGAAATATACAGGGAAATTTTACTTATTTGCATTAAGAATAAAAAAATCCAAAGAAATCTAAGAGAATTGGGAAGTTAAAATTCAAAATAAAATTTATGAATTAATTTTATTCTACTTAATGGTCCTTAAGGTAAGAAAGAAACACACATAAAGTCCATGTTTGGTTTTCTCCTTTCCAGTTCCACACACATTTTTAACCCCTTTGTTCATTCTCCTGATTCTTTAATAACAACATGCACAACAAGGCAGAGTCACAAGTTCAATACTGCTAAGTGGTCTCCCTAATTTATACAAAAACAAATCTTGAAACGATGCTGAAATGAGCTAAAATAACCTGTGTGTTCACATTCAGGACTCCTACTGTGGTTTGCATTAAGGCGGATAGTTCAGTTTCACATCTTTGGTGAAAATTAAGGTAACAGTTGGAACCTGACTAGCTCCCTTGTTTCTGGCTCTGCAGTCTTTGAATGGGTTCTGACTGATAGGAACCACATGTGCCCCAGGAAACATAGACAGGGCAGGTTAGCCAGAGGGTTCTTCTGAATGGCAATATGCCTACAGACCAGCTACCTCTCTTGGGAAGCCTCTGAGAAAAGTGGTCAACCTAGAGAAATTCCTAAGCATGAGGATTTATTAATCCTTTTATTAAAAAATTGTAGCAATCAACTTTCTGATATTTATTCTAAAACTGAAATGTGGCCTTCCTATAAAGTGTTTTCTTAAAATGTTGGAACTCTTTCAAATGTCCAAATCATTCCACAGAAGAGTACTCTGTGACAAAATGAAGTGCTCTTAACTTATAAAATGTATCTTCTAAATTACCCGCAAAGATATACATCAGTATATCTAATTTTTATGAGAATTTTTAATATCCAAAAACATATATTTAAAAAGAATCTTACCTCCTTCAAGTTCTTACTACCGGAGAAACATTTCTTCAGCCCAACTTGTTATTTTAAGGACCTGAACATTTTAAGTGCCTACAAAAATAACAAGATCATTGTTAGAATTCAGTCTAAATTCAACATTTAGGCGTCTTAAGCAGAGGTTTCTCAAAACCAAAAGTTACCCTCAAAGGCCTTGAACTCCTTCCATATCTACTAGAACAGTAAAATGGCAATCCGGAAAGAGGCCGTAGCAGGCAGGCATTAACTTCAGCACCATCTTCTTTGACTCCACAGAACAAGTTAACAATTTATATTCACTAAGCATATTGAGGACCCTTGAAATAAATTGTGTTTGGGGCTCTCATAGAAGAAGCTGCAACCCTAACACACGCTACTGCTTTGTCTTAATGCTGTGATGTTCTCAGCATTTCATCAATGTTGAAAGGCTCCAACCTACCACACAGCTGAACAGTCCATCATGCTACTTCAACATTTCACTTCAACAACAGGTTTGTATTCATTATCTATATTGTTATTCTGACTAAAGACAAAGGGTGAGGTAAGAGTTACGACTGAAATTTTTAAATAAAAGTTCAAAACAAACTTAAGCAATTTCATTATACTATACCACACACTTTGTAAGAGTGACTAGATATCTATCACACTGAATAAATAATAAAAAGAACTTAGAAAACCAAATAAAATAATTAGAATATGACCCAAGATTTAATATTTTATTTTTAGAAAGAATAAGTTGCTCAAAACAAAAAGAGTAGAGAAGTGGAGATTCAGAAGATTCAAAGATTTATCTCATTAAACTTAATGTTATCAAAGTTCAAAGAACCAGTAGTGTGTTATGTTCTAAGTGCTGAACTAACAGCTACTTCATAGCTAGACTATGTTTTTGAACTGTACAATTTTGAGAAATAAAGAGTATTTTATACTGCTGTATTTTTGAGAACTATATGCTATTCTTTTAGAGTCAATAGATATTTATTATTACTCTTGCTATGCGAAAAAATTAGAGAAAAAACTAAGCCTTGGTTTAAGCAAAAGAATAATTCTTTAATCCAATTGTGAAGACAGATGTCAATGCCACTTTAAACATCTGTTGGATCTGTGTATTATAGGGTAGTGAGATTGTTTCAAGGAATTGATTAAGGGGAAAAGGCCTTGTGGCAGGAGGAGTGTTTCTGAAGTCTCGTCTATCTAGAGTTTTTCATTTTCCTGGTGCCATGGTTAGCAATCAAAATCTCATGCATGAAGCAAAATCACTGAGCCACATTCACAGTTTTCATCTGTGTAGATATGAAATTCCTATAATACATAACAAGAACAGAGTCTGAGAAAGTTAGATAGGAAAAGCTAACTCTTAACAATGAGGGAAAGCGGCATAATTGGGTGGAAGAATTAGGCTGAGCATACAGCATTTGCCTAGCAGCCAGCCTGGAAAAGAAAGAAATAGAAGATGGAGGAGGGATAGCAGCTACAAAGGCTATCTCTTAATGTCCTGAGGACTTACCTTCAGGCTTTGGGAGGAGAAAAGAGACTCCTCAGGATGTGGGGCTGAGGAGCTAATAGAGCGCTATCTCACCTCCAATCTTAATGATTTAAGTGGTGTTAGGAGGAAATAGCTGCCTCTTGAAAGATGGTGTGAGAAGCAGTCAGGAGGCTTCAGGTGCAAAGAAGATAAGGGAGAATACACAAAAGTGTTTGAAGATAGAAAGGCTTTGTTGGTGAGGTCCAGAGAGCATCAGGAGACAATCAGGAGACAGAAGTAGAGGATCAGGATTAGTTTTAGTGATGGCGATGACATGAAAGTTCTGGGTTCTCTTTAGTGACTGACATAAAGCAAGAAAGTGGGCATGATAAGGTAAGTCCTGAGTTTCCCCAAACAGACAATAGTGATTAGTCTGAGTGTCAGTGGGATCAAAGGGATGTTATGATTTTTTTTTTGCTAGGAATGTTCAGGAATTAGGGGTATCCACTGTACTCTTGACCTGAAAATGGGTGTTTTCTGAGACAGATCTTTCTAAGTTAGCATAAAGGCAGTCTTTCCTGCCTCTTGCACTGCTGGCCTGGAGGAGAAGGGTGTCTGTCATATGTGGACTTCCTTCTAGCATACATAGAGAACTGGAATAAGAGGAGCAAAGATGCTGGACATGGTTAGGGATGTCCTCTTGGTGACATTTCATCTGCAATATGAAGAGCTTTGTGAATATCTTAGGAATAAAAGAGGAGCGATAAACAAGAGTGCTCTGAGGTTAGATCATATGCAGAAGAATATCCAGAAACAGATGAAGTCATCAATTGTGAGAGAGCAGGGTGATGGGATGGAGGCAGTGGTGCGAGATGTAATTCAAGGACTGCTGTGACCAAATTCAAAACAAGAACTACAAATATTGTTGACACCTATCCCATAAAAATAACTTCCTACTCTATAAAAATATACTAGTTAAGTGGAGATAGTGCAGAAAACACAGGCACATGCGCACACACACACATACATACACACACACACACACACACACACACACACACACAATGTAAATATTATAACAAAAACAGCTTATTTCCATAATAAAGGCCTCACAGTACAATCACAATATTGATAAAATATCACTCTACTAAACAGACTATAACTCAAAAAACTAGTTACAACTATAGTTGGATGTGTTTACTTGGCAGGATATGCTGTCCACAGCCTTGAAAGCCCCGAGAACATCCTGCATAGATGCGCTGGCCCACCTCTCTGGAGAAGATTAGATGAGCCAATGATGCAACCACAGACACAAAATAACTGTTCCAACCTGACAGTTCTTTTTTATAATCCACACTATATAATTTTTCTACAAAAGAAAAAAATCTGTCAAAAGGCGCTCCATTAGTGTCAGGTAAAGATTCCTAAGGTACAAACTCTTTAAATTGCTGTAAATGATAGTAACAAGGAAACTTAAATGGGAAATTCCTAATGCAAGTAGATTAAAATTCTTTATCTTATCTGTTTCTTCTCTTTGATCCTGGCATTCTCTTGGAAACTCTAAAGGGATTGTGACTTTAACAAATACAATGTCTGGTGGTTCTTGCACTGATGTATTATGAACAAATAAAGCATTCTACTCTCCACTGAACCTGTTTTTATTAAGCAATGATTTACTAAGAGTTTTGAAAAATGAAACTGATACTGGCCATTTAATTTAAAAACCACAGTACATTTATTAGAAACACTGAAAACTGGCATTAATATTGGTAGGAAAGTTGATTTCAAATTTAAAACATCTTTCTCTTCCCCATTTCTTGTCTTTAATTTCTTTTTCTTTTTTCTGTTTGTCTATCATAAGAAAAGGAAGTTAAGATTTGGGCAATCACTTGGAATAAGTCAAAAATTATCAATTGAGATTTAATTTTATGTACCATGCAGGATTCCAAATAGTTTTGATTCAAAATAATAGACTGATAATATTTCTATTAAGACAAATATTTTAATATTTAAATTACATTCAAGTGTATACAATTTAGTAATTTTAAATCATTATTTATCATTACTTTTAGAATACTTATTAAACAAATTTAATTACTTAGGACGATTTGCATTTTGGGGTTTTGACTATGGCCTCACAAATACTGGGAAAGCATTCTAATACTGAACTGCATGCTTATCTTTTCGTTTTCTTAGTTTGCATTGGGAGATGGGGTCTTACTGAGTTATACAGGCTAGTCTTCAACCAGTGCTTGTAGAGTAATTGGTGTTTCAGGCCTGTACCACCAACAAGTTCTCTTCAGGAAATGTTTTAAGTGAGAAATTAAATTACACATTTGATATTTGCATCAAAGGTATAGGCTAATGCATTTGAAATGCTAGGGATGGGGCTCACCAATACAAATTAGTGCCACATTGGGCCGCAGAAGACCTAATACAGCTTCCAACATCCATACTAATGCTCTTATTTACCAAAGATGAAAAAAAAAAAGGTTTAATTTGCTCAACATACTTCTGTGGAATCTGTCTTGTAAGTAACTTTTTTTGATCATTCTTCATTTTGGAATATTATCATCTTTTAGTTTAGAATAGTCTTGAAACAAAACATTTCACTGTTTTATTTTACACTAACATTATACTGGCCATATGAAAAAAAAGAATAATAAGACCTTCATAATAAATAGTGCCCCAAATTACCTTTTTGGTTTTACAGCAGATGTTAACTTGACCTGAACAAATATTGGAGATAATCTGGGCACCTTGAAAGATCATAAAGGAAGCCCCACTGATAATCAATGTTTGTTTAAAAAAATCTTCCTTTAAAATTCAAGGAAAATAATTTATATAAATGGTTTATAAAAATTATATAAATTGTTATTAAAATAATCATCTATCACTTTAAATCATTAAGCTCATTTATTTGATAAGACTATCTTCTAAATTTTTATTCATATATATCATATGATAGCTACAAATTATTTTCATGTAAATGAACCTTATGAAATATATCCTATCATATGAATGACATTCTGTTATACACTTATGGATCAATGCTTTGCTCAGCCATCATCAGAGAAGCTTCCTCCTGCAGCAGATGGGAACAAATACTGAGACCCACAGCCAGTCATTATGCAGAGAGTAAGAGACCTTGGAACTCTCAGCCCTAGACAGGATGTCTTCATCAAACCCAATCCTCAGGGCTCAGGAACTCAGTGGAAAAAGGAGGCAGAAAGATTGTAATAGCCAGAAGGATTGGAGGATATCAAGAAAACAAGGTCCCCTAAATCAATATGACCAAAGCTTATAGGAACTCAGAGACGGAGGCAGCATGTACAGGGTCTTACATGGGTTGGCACCAGTTATGGTCCTGGAACTGAAAGCAGAAGTGGGCAAATGTCCCCAGAAGCTATCTCCAACTGATAACCACTTGCAAATGAAAATTAAGTTTCCTCCAAGGGAGTCTCACTGGGAAAACAAACTACTCTTAAGGGTAGGCTGAATGCCCCGCAGTAGATGGTCTACAAAAATGATCTCAATGGAATCTTTGGAAGTACCTTGTCTCATAATGTCATGTCTGGGCACTTCCATTTTTTTAAAATCTTATTTATTTTATTACAT